CTTGGGCTTCCACGGCCTGTGGGCCCCAGGCGTGGCCACAGGCGGTGGCCCGCTGGGCGTCTCGAGCGGCGTCGCGCTCCTCACGCGCAACGTCATCCCCGTGACGGCGCCGCCCTTCACGCCCTCCCACGTCCTGGAGGAGGCGCGCGCGTTGGCGGGCCACGTGCACTGGGGTGTGGAGGGTGGCCTCATCGTCATAGTGGTCTACTTGAGGCACTCCGTCGGCATGGGCGACGACTACTCGGACACGGTCCACGAGCTGCAGCGCTACCTCAGGGTGCTCAACGCACGCGGGCTGGACTGGGTCGCCATGGGCGACTGGAACATGGAGCTGGAGGAGCTGAAGGGGCCATGGCTCGAACAGGTGCGTGGCGTCCCGATCGCCCCGTCGGGGCCGACCTGCTGGCAGACGGTGGAGGGCTCCTGCTTGGACTACCTCATCGCGGCGCCGAACCTGGACCCGAGGCTAGGCGAGGCTTGGGTCGCGACGGATGCGGCGCTGCACCCACGCGTCCCCGTGCACGTGAACCTGGCCACGGTCGACCGCGAGGCCTTTGTCAGGGTCGCCGTCGAGCCGCGGGGGTTCACCGCGGTGCCGCCGGCGGGCGCGGCGCCTTTCCCTCATGACCGAGGGTGGCGGGCGGCGCTGCAGCAGGTCCTCGCGGCGGAGGAGCCTGGCCCCCTGGCGCAGGCGTGGGGCGCTGTCGTCGGCGTGGCGGAGGCCGAGCTCTGCAGCCGCTGGTACTTCGTGGGGGCTGAGAGGCGGCAGCACACTGGCAGGGCGGGCGAGCCTGTCTTCAAGCTGGCCCAGCCGACGTGGCAGCCGCCGCGACGGAGGAAGCTGTACGACCCGAAGGTCAGCGCCCACATGGTGGCGGCGCGGTGGGCTCGGCATCTGGATGCCGCCCGCACGCGCTTGGTCAAGTTGCTGGCGTGCGACCTGGACGACCGCATTGAGCTGGCCGTGGACCTCATCCTCGAGACCCACCGCTACTACGGCAACGTGGCGAAGTCGCACCGCGTGCTCGGCCAGCTCTCTGAAGACGTCGCGCAGTGGCTCTTGGGCGGCGTGGCCCAGATGAGCAGCGGGATGCGGGCCGCCAAGGTCGAGAAGATCGTGGCGGAGGCCGAGCGGCTCACCAAGCGCTACAATGGCGAGCGTGAGAAGGAGTGGCGTGCGTGGGCTGCCAAGAGCCTCACAGGCGGGGCGAGTGCTGCACACCGCTTCACGAGGCTACCTCCTGAGGCTGAGGTCCGTGGGGCCACCGCGCGGGCCAGCCCGCGCCAGCTGGCTGACCGCGAGCTCGACGGATGGAGGGACGTGTGGACCGTCCATGGGCAGGGCGCCCTGGAGAAGCCTCCTGACTTTGACGACTGGGCCGAACTCCCGCGGATCGTCGGTCACCTCTGACGTGCGGCGCTGTGTGTCAAAGAGCGCACGGCGGTGGGCCAGACGGGCATTGCCCCGCGGGCCCTCTGGCACCTCAGCGACATCGGCCTCTACGTGCTGTCGGCGCTCTTCAGCCAGTGCGAGAGGTTGGGGGTGTGGCCGACTGACAGAGTGTACACAGTGCTGGTGCGCCTGCCCAAGGCGAGCGGAGGATGCAGGCTGATTGCCCTTGTGAACTCCTTCCTCCGTCTGTGGGCGAAGGCGCGTTCGACGATTTCGCGTGCCTGGCTCGACCAGGCGGACGTGCCCAATCTCTGGGGCACTGGTGGAGCTGGCAGGACCTCGACGGCAGCAGCTTTCCACCACAACCTAACGGCTGAGATCATGAACATCAATGGAGGGCACAGCGTCACTGCGCTCCTGGATGCGTGGAAGGCGTTCGACAGCTTGATTGGGGGCAGGCTGCTGGACGAGGCTCGGGCCATGGGGTTTCCACTCCGCCTCATGTGGGCCATCCTCAGGTACCACCACCTGCCGAGGCGCATCAAGGCGTTCGACTCGATGTCGGAGAGCTTCACGGCGCACCGGGGCATCCTGGCGGGCTGCTCCCACTCGATGGCGGTGCTGGTGGTGGCGACGGCGCGGGCCTTGCGGCGGCTGGCGACGTACGACGTGATCCCGCGCACGCTCGCCGACGACACCTCGGCCCAGTGGATCGGCACGGACCTGCGAGGCGTGCGCGTCCTGTGGCTGGCCGTCAAGCGCTTCAAGCACGAGGTCGGGGACGTTGGCCTCTTGCTGCAGGAGCTCAAGTCGGGCTGCGTGGCGACGTCCAGGCAGAGCCGCGATGCAGCGGCGCAGTTTGCCAGGCGGCTCAGGATGGGCTCGCAGCCGCACATGAGGAACCTGGGCCACGACCTGAATGGGACCAAGGCCTTCAAGAAGGTCGTCAAAACCAGACTCGAGAACGTGAGGCCGCGGCTGAGGCGTGCGGCGAGGCTGCGCCGAGCTGCGGGAGGGCGTGCGGCGCGCCTGTGGCAGACGGGCCTGCTGCCTGCTGCCGCCCACGGGGCGGCGGTGAGCGGCGCGGCCCCCTCCGAGCTGGCCGCGTTGCGCTCGGGGGCGGCCCGGCTCGCTGGGGCCAAGGGCCGCGGTGGCAGCAACGCGCTTTACCTGGCCAGCGAGCGGAACCCGTGGTACGACCCAGTCTACGCGGCGACCGTCGAGCCGCTCATGCACTACGCCGCGGTCGTGTGGCAGCAGGCTGTGTCCATGAGTGCTCTGGAGAAGGCCTGGCGCGTGACGCTGGGCAGAGTCGAGGCGGGCGAGGACAAGCTGACGTGGGCGTCGGCACGCGGGCCGCTCAAGGTGGTCGTCCCGTCGCTCAAGCGGATCGGCTGGGTGATGCTGTCGTCGGCGCTGATCCAGCCTGACGCGGGGCCAGTGATTTCGCTCCTGGCCACGTCGCCTCGCTTTTTTCGCGATCTCCTGCGGCAGGGGATCCAGCGTTGGCAGATGCGCCAGATTGCCTCTCACCATGATGCGGCCACGCCTCTATGGCCGCGAGGCCTGCGGGCTTGCGTGGGCGGGGGGGGGGGGCGACGGTTACTGGGGCGGGGAGGGTCGGAGCTCTGCGCAGCCTGTGGTCTGGCTCCCTCTGGCCAAAAGCTAAGTTGTATAGCAAAGGAATGTGTGATGATCAGAAGTGTCGAGCGTGCCCGCATGAGGCCGAGACGCTTGGCCATTGTTTCGTCGAATGCCCAGCGCTGACACAGCGCTTGTTGGATGATGAGGAGGATTGTGGTCTCGATCCCAAGTTGGCCTCAACTCGCGACGCCATGTTGGAGCATGGGCCGATCGGAGTGGGCCGCCAGGATGTTGATTCGTTTGCCCTCCCGGTCGGGACCCCTAGGTGGCCCAAGGTTGAAGTGCCGCCGCCTCCTGAGTCGCCTCCTTGCTTCTTTTGGGGAGATTGGGAGTCGGATCCCGAACAGTGGAGTGATTGTGTTTTTACTGATGGCTCGGGATACCACAACGAGTATCCTGAGCTCCGTCGGTGTGGATGGTCTGCTGTCATGTTGAATGCCAATGGAGTCCCCACTCGTGCGCTGCATGGCGGGCTCGCAGGCGCGCAGCAGACAGTAGGCCGTGCAGAGCGCGTTGCGGGCCTCAAGGCCCTTCAGCACATGCCCTCGGTCCAGTGTGTGATTTCTGACTTGCTGGAATTTGTGCATGAAGGCAAGCTGTGGGGCCAAGGCGAGAAGGAGGTCCTCACTGATGCTAGCCGAGCATACCCTGCAGTGTGGCGCCAGCTGGTGGCGCTGAAAAGAACGCCGCCTGCCTTTGCATGGGTCCCTTCCCACAGGACTGAGGATGAGGTTCTCTTCCCCGCTCCTGAGGACCCTCCGCCTCCTCCCTACCTCTTGGTCGTGGGGAATAGCTGGGCCGACTTTTTCGCTAAGCTGGGAGCCCTCTCGGTCAAGCTCCCAGAGGCCCACGCTAGATTCTATAAGGACTCGCTGTCAGAGGCTGCCCAGTATGCCAAGTATTTGTTTTGGGCGGTCCAGAGAAGCTGTCAGCTCGAGCTGTGGTCTGAGAAAGCTGTTCTGACGGCCGCCCCGAGCAGGACTCCCAAGGCTAACGGAGCTGGAGTGGTGCTGCTGATACATGAGCACGACCTCATCGAGATTCGTAGGAGGCTCATGTGTCGTCGATGCCGTCGCACTGCGAAGACCGCCGAGGCTCGCAGGCAGTTGACTGGAGGCACTGATAGACGGTGTGTGCCTTCTACGATTTCCCGAATGCAGGCAAATCTGATCGAGGCTGCCGCCAGTGCCGCCGCGAGGCCGCCGACGGCCCGCTGGGGTTCTGTGGGGGGGCCGCCTGGTGGCCCTGTGGGTGCCCGTGGGGATGGGGCCTCGGCTGGGTCGGTTCCTGTTGCCGCTGGGCTTGGGTCGGCTGCGGCTGGGGGCTCGGCCGGGGTGCGCTGGGGGGGGCCTGTGCCTGCCCGCGAGGGCGGGGCTGGGGCGGCGTCTTTGGCCTCTGAGGAGGCCGTGCGTGAGGGGCCTGTGCCTGCCCGCGAGGGCGAGGCTGGGGCCCCTTTTGGGGGTGCCGCGGGCTCTGGGGAGCCCGCGGTGGCGGAGTGGTGTCACGCGCCTGGGGGACACGACGTCACCGCCACGGGTACTGTCGTCTGGTGTCGGCGGTGCGGGGCCTACGGGTCCGTCAGGGTGGGGAAGGCCTTCAGCTCCCCCTGTCCTGACCCCAAAGACTTGCCCAAGAGCAGGAGGTCAGTCCCCAGTGCTCTCCAGAGAGGCAAGCACCCCAAGACTGGGAAGTCCCTCACTGGGTGACTGACGGCTTGGGGGTTTAACTTTCCCTCTTAGAGTGGTGTCTGTGAGCAGACGCTTTCTCTTCAGTGCTTCCCTGCTTCCCTCCTCCTCCTCCTCCTCCTCCTCCTCCACCTCCTCCTCCTCCTCCTCCTCCGCTACCGCCTCCCTCCTCCTACGGAGGGCCTCGGGGCCCGCGCTCCTTGGGGGGGGCGGCCCCGCGCCCTCCACGCCGCGCGGCCGGGAGGTCGCGGAGGAGGAGTCACTTGGGCCCGCCTGGCCTCGTCGGGCGCGCCGAGCCCCAGGTTGGACAGGTCCAGGAGCCTGGAGGAGGATGTGGGATGATGGTGATGAGGATGAGGATGAGGATGATGATGAGGATGAGCATGAGGATGAGGATGAGGACGAGGATGAGGATGATGATGATGATGCTGCTGCTGCTGATCATGATGATGATGATGATGATGATGATGATGATGATGATGATGAGGATGATGATGATGATGATGATGGTGATGATGATGACGATGATGATGATGATGATGATGATGATGATGATGATGATGATGATGATGATAATGATGATGACGATGATGATGATGCGGAGGAGAAGGCGGAGGAGGAGGAGGACGAGGAGGATTAGAGGGAGGAGGAGGAGGAGACGGAGGATTGGGAGGAGGAGGAGGAGGCGGAGCAGGGGATGGGAGGAGGAGGACGAGGAGGAGGAGGAGGAGGAGGAGGAGGCGGCGGAGCAGGAGGGGGAAGAGGAGGAGGAAGAGGAGGAGGAGGAGGAGGAGGGGGAGGAGGAGGGAATAACATCCACAGAAGAGGAGGAGGATAAGGAGGAGGTCTATAGATCGCGGGCGTTCTGACGCCGCGGGCGAAATCGGCGCCCTCACAGCTCGGCAAGAAGAGAAGGTCGATGTTTGGCATGGTACGCGCGCTCGACAGGAAAGGTTCCGCGCCGGTGTGTACACATGAATTTGTTCTACCATGTTGAATTGGTGTGAGGGCCTGTCATAGAACAAGGCGGAGGACGAGGAGGAGGGTCCGTGGCCACTTCGGCTCAAGCCAATTTGGCTCCAGATGTCGCCGTGTATGGGGCCCCGGACCATCACCTCAAGGCAAAGTTCAAGGGGGCCCCCGCCTGGTGCCACAGCGACATTCACCAGGCCTCCATTGAACGGGTTGTTCTTCCTGCTCTACTGATCACCGACAAGGAGGTGGGAGGAAGGGCAGCGATTGTCACGACGCCTCCCGCAGAGATTTCCAATTATGATGCGGAAGTGCACCTGAGGGACGAAGAATGCCCAGAAACTGACGCATTGCAGCAAGTGCAAGCAGCGTTGCCAGCAGGCGGGTGCAGCTCAACCGACAGCGAAGGCCCCTTCGAGGGCACCAAGTGTCGGAGATGGTCGTGGAGCCGCAGTCCGTCGCGAAACCTCCCCGTCAGAAGCACGCGTGGCACAAAGACGCGAAGGACCTGAAGAACAAGGAGGCAAAAGACGAGGAGCCCCTGGTCATGCCTCAGGAAAGTCGACCGGCATCTGCACGGATGGCGACTCCATGCGAAGGTCGCCTCTGTCCATTGTATCGGCCCCTCAGTGCGCACGCCACTAAGGAGGATAAACAACGAGTACTACAAGCGTGTGAAGTCCAAGCACCAGCTTCCCCAGCAGCAGTACAAGCTGCAGTGGCTGATGGACGAGAACTGCGGGGGCACGATCAGGACCATCGGAGTGTGCCGCCGCATGCTGATTTCGGAGAAGCGCGGGATCGAGCAGATGGCTTGGGTCGAGGCGGCCCTCCGCAGATCCAGGAGCATCATAGACGCATGGGCCCACGAAGGAGAAGAAGCTAAAAGATAGCGGATCAACAGCTGTCGCGACATCAATCCGCGAAAGAGCATTCCTCCGCACTGAGGAAGAGCATGGAGGAGCTGAGGGAGGCCGCGGAGGAAGGGAAGCTCGACGCAGCCATGGCCGTGGATCGCAATGGCTACACGCAGCCGCCACGGCTATGACCATCGCCAGCTTCGGGTTTCGCGGGTTCGTCTGCTGGGCATTCTCCCGCAGCGCCAGGCACGGCGCCCGTGGGCAGGCGGCCTTCGGCTGGCTCGGCAGCCCAAGGCGAGAGTCCAACTTTGAAATGCACTCCCCCGCATCCTTGCAGCTGCTACGAAATGTAAACCGCCTGTGCGCGTCGCTAAGACGAGAACCGCACGTTGCAAACCACCAGCCCTCCATCCTTGAAGCCGTTGCAGACTTTTGAGACGACTGTGCCCGGCGCTGGGGCGAGAGCCACCTTCTGAAAAGTGCACCACCCCACCCTCCTGACTATCGCAAGCGTTTGAGACGGGCATGCGCAGCGCGAAGGCAAGATCCGCATTTAGAAACGGAACCGCCCCCTATCCTTCTAATTAACTGTTTCGGGCGTTGGCAGAACTGGGTTTAGTGGGACCTGGTTTAGTGACGTGTACTGGGGGGCGCCATCACCCGAAAAAACACAAGCTACGGCAGACCTGGTTTAGTGATTCTGGCCAATGTAGGGGCTCCGAAGCCCTACCACTAACTGGATCCCCTTACCTGGGGTCCTGGCTATACCCGACTGTTGCGCGGCGCTGCGCCCCACTCGGAGAACGACCGCCCACCTATCCTTGCAGCCGTAGCGCAGCGCTCACTCGAGAGCAACATTTTGAAAATTATCCCAGTGCGACCCTACCTAGGAGTTGGACCCCCTAGGAAAGCAGCATTAGTAGTAACAGTAAAGCTAAGCTAAAGCTAAGCCACAGCTAAGCTAAAGCTAAGCTAACGCTAAGCTAAAGCTAAGCTAACGCTAAGCTAAAGCTAAGCTAAATATAAGCTAAAGCTAAGCTAAAGCTAAGCTAAAGCTAAGCTAAATCTGAGCAAAAGCTAAGCTAAAGCTAAGCTACAGCTAAGCTAAGTCTAAGCTAAAGCTGAGCTAAAGCTAAACTAAAGCCAACCTAAAGCTAAGCTAAGGCTAAGCTAAAGGCTAGGCTAAAGGCTAAGCTAAAGGCTAAGCTAAAGGCTAAGCTAAAGGCTAAGCTAAACGCTAAGCTAAACGCTAAGCTAAAGCTAAGCCACAGCTAAGCTAAAGCTAAGCTAACGCTAAGCTAAAGCAAAGCTAACGCTAAACTAAAGCTAAGCTAAGTATAAGCTAAAGCTAAGCTAAAGCTAAGCTAAAGCTAAGCTAAAGCTGAGCAACAGCTAAGCTAAAGCTAAGCTACAGCTAAGCTAAAGCTAAGCTAAAGCTAAGCTAAAGCTAAGCTAAAGCCAACCTAAAGCTAAGCTAAGGCTAAGCTAAAGGCTAAGCTAAAGGCTAAGCTAAAGGCTAAGCTAAAGGCTAAGCTAAACGCTAAGCTAAACGCTAAGCTAAAGCTAAGCTAAAGCTAAGCTAAAGCTAAGCTAAAGCTCAAGCTAAAGGTAAGCTAAATCTAAACTAAAGCTAAAGCTAAAGCTAACGCTAAAGCTAAAGCTCCCAGGGGACTGGGGGAACCGCTCCCAGGGGACTGGGGGAACCGCCCGGGGCGCTTTCCACTGCCCGGCCCCTTTAAGCTAGAGAGTAAGAACCCTTCTAGGCAGAGCCTAGGTAGGGAATTATCCCAGTGCGACCCTACCTAGGAGTTGGAGCCCCTAGGAAAGCAGCATTAGTAGTAACAGTAAAGCTAAGCTAAAACTAAACTAAACCTAAGCTAAACCTAAGCTAAAGTTAAGCTAAAGCTAAGCTAAAGTTAAGCTAAAGCTAAGCTAAAGCTAAGCTAAAGCTAAGCTAAAGCTAAGCTAAAGCTAAGCTAAAGCTAAGCTAAGCTAAAGCTAAAGCTAACCTAAAGCTAATGCTAAGATAAAGCTAAGATAAGCTAAGCCAAGCTAAGCTAAGACGAGATAAGCTGAGCCAAGCTAAGGGGGCGCTATGCTACGCTATGCTACGCTATGCTAAGCTATGCTATGCAATACTGTGCTATGTTATGCTATGATGTGCTATGCTATGTCATGCTATGCTATGCTACGCTAAGCTAAGCTACATTAGGCTAAGCTAAGCTAGGCTAAGCTAAGCTAAGCTAAGCTAAGCTAAGCCAAGCTAAGCTAAGCTAAGCCAAGCTAAGCTAAGCCAAGCTAAGCTAAGACGAGATAAGCTAAGCCAAGCTAAGGGGGCGCGACTGGGGAAACCGCGGGGCGGGGACTGGGGGAACCGCCCGGGGCGCTTTCCACTGCCCGGCCCCGTTAAGCTAGAGAGTAAGAACCCTTCTAGGCAGAGCCTAGGTAGGGAAAAACACGCCCGTCTGCCCGTGCAGCTGCTGCAAATCTCAAGCCAGGCCTGTCCCTGAGGAGTATTCAAAAATAGTAAAGTATCCCAGTGCGACCCTACCTAGGAGTTGGAACCCCTAGGAAAGCAGCATTAGTAGTAACAGTAACGCTAAGCTAAAGCTAAGCTAAAGCTAAGCTAAAGCTAAGCCACAGTTAAGCTAAAGCTAAAGCTAAGCTAAAGCTACGCTAAAGCTAAGCTAAAGCTAAGCTAAAGCTAAGCTAAAGCTAAGCTAAAGCTGAGCAACAGCTAAGCTAAAGCTAAGCTACAGCTAAGCTAAAGCTAAGCTAAAGCTAAGCTACATCTAAGCTAAAGCTAAGCTAAAGTTAAGCTAAAGCTAAGCTACAGCTGAGCTAAAGCTAAGCTAAATCTAAGCTAAAGCTAAGCTAAAGCTAAGCTACAGCTAAGCTAAACGCTAAGCGAAAAGCTAAGCGAAACGCTAAGCTAAAGCTAAGCTACAGCTAAGCTAAAGCTAAGCTAAAGCTAAGCTAAAGCTAAAGCTAAAGCTAAAGCTAAAGCTCCCAGGGGACTGGGGGGAACCGCGGGGCGGGGACTGGGGGAACCGCCCGGGGCGCTTTACACTGCCCGGCCCCTTTACGCTAAGAGAGTAAGAGCCCTTCTAGGCAGAGCCTAGGTAGGGAAAAAATAGCCTGGGGGCTTTCTTTGGACTATTTTCGGGCATCCTGGGAGTATAGTTTGAGTATTCTTATTTTTTCGGCCAAAGCCCCCCTGTAGGGGGACAGGCCCGGCATGATGCGAATATCAAGCTTCGGGATCATATCTGATGAGGAAGCCTCGGGCGAAACGCCCGGCCCGCCCTGCCAGCACGCCTGGGGGCCCGAAAGGGAGGAGCTGTTCATACAGCAGGGGCTCGACCACAAGAGCTCCCCCACACAAGAACCCCAACCCTGAGGCCCCAGGACGTCCATCGACCTTGGGGCGCGGGAACGGCACACGCCGTCCACAGGAGAACCAGCGAGACCCAGGAGTCCCAGGGCACCCTGGAGGCAAGCAGGGCGCTTCTTGGCATGGGCCTCCACTGTACGTTGGAGCTCTGGGACGCTGCCGACCCCGCGCAGAGGAGGAAGAGGAGGAGGAGGAGGAGGAGGAGGAGGAGGAGGAGGAGGAGGAGGAGGAGGAGGAGGAGGAGGAGGAGGGGAGGAGGAGGAGGAGGAGGAGGAGGAGGAGGAGGAGGAGGAGGAGGAGGAGGAGGAGGAGGAGGAGGAGGCCGAGGAGGAGGAGGAGGAGAAGGAGGAGGGAGGAGGAGGAGGAGGAGGAGGAGGAGGAGGAGGAGGAGGAGGAGGAGGAGGAAAGGGGATAGGGGGGAGAAAGGGGGAACAGCGAGGGAGCTGAAGGCCCCGGAGCCGCAGTCCAGCCGCCCCCGCCAGCAGCCCCCGCAGCGCGGCCGTGCCCAGCGCGCTCAGCCTTAGGCTGGGCATGTCCTCCTACAGTAGAGGCCTCCTAGATGGGGTCCGAGTAGATGGGGTCCGAGTAGATGAGGCCTCCTAATCAGATGGGGTCCGAGTAGATGGGGTCGAAGGATCGCGCCACATCGCAAATGCATCACCGATGTATCGGCGATGCATCGGCGATGCATCGCAGACGTCGGCGACGCATCGGCGACGCCGGAGTGGCGAAAATCGGGCTCCGCATCGAGCCGCATCATCGATACATCGACGATGCAGCGCGATCCTCGGACCCCATCTACTCCGACCCCATCTAGGAGGCCTAGATACAGGCGGCTTCTGGAACAAAAATGAAAAAGAGCCACAAATATTCAAAAATAGTATCAATAATAGGACAATCGGCCCCAGACTTTTTTAAAACATATATATAGTGTTATATATATACACACATATATGTATGTATGTATGTGTATACATATATATATATATGCATACTGCGACTATTTTTGAAGATTCCTCCTGTAGAGGGCCACGCCCGACTTACGAGCTCAGCCTCGGCTGGCAGTCGAAGTCCCACTCGGCCCGCCGGGCGGACAGCGCCCGCCCGAGGTGCCCGCGCCCCAGCACGAAGGCGTTGCGGTAGAACGCGTCGTTCAGGCGCCCGCTGAGCCCCTCGGCGCCGCCCCAGAAGGCGGCCGCCCCCTGCGCTGGCCCGCCCTCGGCGAGGCCTCGCCCGCAGAGCTCCCGCACGAAGAGGCACTCCTGCCGGAGCGGGCGATCGGGGGCGGCGTCCGTGCCCAGGGCGCTGTCGCGCCCCAGGAGGAGGAGGAGGAGGAGGAGGAGGAGGAGGAGGAGGAGGAGGAGGCCCCCCGGAACAGGACGAGTCCAGGATGAGGGGCCCGCGCCTCGCTCTGCAATCGCCCAGGCTGCGAAGCGCCACTCGCTTTCGCGCCCTCGCAGTGGCCCTGCAGGGCCCGGTGCAGGGAGCGCTGGCGAGTCGGCTCGCGCGGCCGCCTCTCCCGGCGCCTCCCGGCGCCAGGAGGTGCCCCTGTGTATCGAAGAGTAGCGCCCCGGGGGCGGGGCCGAAACCGGCTGCCTGCAGCAGACTTCGCACCCTCCCCCCCCCCTTCCCTGTCCCTGCCCCCTTTCGACTGGCCCCATCCTGGAAACTCAGGTGGCGGAACTGGAACTCGCCGGTGTCGCCTCGTGACCCTGGGCAAGAGGGACCTTCGGCTGCACGGTTTGCCCCAGGGCCGTAGGCGACCCGAGGAGGAGGAGGAGGAGGAGGAGGAAGAAGAGGAGGAGGAGGAGGAGGAGGAGGAGGTGGAGGAGGGGGGGGGACAAGCTAGGTGCGCTCGCGTCATGTCTGACGTCCTACCCGTCTCTCCCATCCCTTACCATGGCGCTGATTTTCTCTATCCGCGGACGCGTGTCGTAGCGGACCTGTGGCTCCGCGCGCGCGTGCGTAGTGGGTGGTGGTGCGCGTGCGTGCGTGCGTGCGTGCGTGCGTGTGTGCGTGGTTGTGGTGGTGGTGGTGGTGGTGGTGGTGGTGGTGGTGGTGGTGGTGGTGCTGGTGCTACTGCTGGTGCTGGTGCTGGTGGCGGTGGTGGTGGTGGTGGTGGTGGTGGTGGTGGTGGTGGGTGGTGTGTGTGTGTGTGCGCGTGTACTGTGGCATGGCACGGGAAATGACGCCAGCGCTGCAGCGGGAGCACGAGTCGAAACGGGCGGAAGCGCGGAAATGAGGCCAGCGCTGCAGCGGGAGCACGAGTCGGAACGAGCGGAAGCACGGAAATGAGGCCAGCGCTGCAGCGGGAGCACGATTCGGAACGAGCGGGGCCCGAAAATGAGGCCAGCGCTGCAGCGAGAGCAGCATTTTGAAACAAATGCAGGCGAAAACCCAACTCCCGGGAATCCTGTGTGTAAAAAAGCAGGACGCGGGGGGGGGTCGGCTACTCCCAGCACGCCATCAGGGGAAGAGGGAGAGTAGTATTCATATTGAGTAATTGTAGAGGAGGAGGAGGAGGAGGAGGAGGAGGAGGAGGAGGAAGAGGAGGAGGAGGAGGAGGAGGAGGAGGAGGAAGAGGAGGAGAAGGAGGAGGAGGAGGAGGAGAGGAGGAGCAGGAGGAGGAGGAGGACGTGTCGCCCAAGCCCTTCGGAGAACACCCCCATCTTCGGCGCGTGGCAGGCCAATCGCTGCGCCCGGTTCGACAGAATAGCAGCCTGCGTGCGTGGGGTGCGGCCCCCGCGCGCCCGCCGAACGCCCCGCACCGCGAGTCCACTCCGCCAAAGGGTCACGCCTACACCCATGCGTGGAGCTAGGAGGACTTCAGGTCACGGCAGGTTCGTGCGGCGTCGGCGCGCGCAAAAGTTTCTGACACCGCGTCGATCGTTCCACCTTGAATCGATCGCGGCCCCGATCGTTCGAAATTGAATTCAACCGGGTCCGATGACGCTACCGTGAACATCGGTGCTTCCGCGCCGCAGCATTCGACCTTGAACGCCTTCGCCAGCGTCGCCAGCGGGCCAACGTCGCATGAACCTACTGTCAGAGCATGGACTTCACTCGAAGCGTTTTCTTGAACAGTGGTCCGGGTCCAGATGTACCACCAAAGACCCAGCGGCAGACAGGCTCAGAGGAAAAGCGCCCAGGCTCCGGCTGGCCCAGCCTCTTGGGCTTTCTGCCATACGGCATCTGGAGTCCACGGGAGTTGCTGCTCGTTCTGCTGAGGTCTCTGCTGGGTGCCCGCGCAGCCGATCGCCCAGCGTCAGGATCTTGACCACGGGCACCTCCCCGCGGTCCACCAGCTCGGACCAGAGGCCCTGCAGGTCGGGCCGGTCCGCGAGCGCACGGCGCACGTCGCCCGGCTGGAACGTGCGCCGCTTCGCCAGGTGGTTCGCGGCCGCGATGGCCTGCAGCATCTCCAGGCAGGGCCCCGCGCGCTGCTCCTCTCGGGCTCTCGAGGGGCAGGGTCCGTCTTAGCAGGGGCAGATGAGCAGCCTGCGAGAAAACCAGGCCAGAACCATCCTTCCGAGCACCCGTCCCCAGGATACACAAGAGGGTACAACAAGTACGAAAAACACTGGGGTACCCTCCCCGAACTGACCTCGACCTTGACAAACAGAAGAACACGAAACGGCACAAACATGAACTGTTGGCGCTCCGCGCGGGTTTCTTGGATCCGCGCTGGCCCCCCTCCCTGGCGCGCGGAGCGCGTCAGGAGCGGCGCCGAAGGCGCTGCCCAGGGGGGCTCCAGCGCCGATCCAAGAGATCCGCGCATACCTTCAAGAATTTCTGTTGATGGTACACGCGAGGACATACTACGGGGCAGTTCTTATTACATGGGATTTTAAATGTAGGATTTCAAATGCATGATTAATGTATGAGTAAATGTATGCATGAACTCATCGTTGTTTTTAATACTAGATCCCTGCATGTCTAATACATGATCCGCACGCGGAGCATGTATTAAAAACGGCCCTGTACTAACTTGATGTGTCGTCCTCCTCGGAGGCGTGCGCCCGAAGCGAACAGATAGAACAACCATGTATATATCGTTTCCCGCGCGGCGTGGCCCAAAAGCGCCGGCCACGACGCACATGCTATAGGATTTCTCGGTGCGCGCGTCGCCCATTGGGGGGGGGGGGGCGACGCACAGATAGTACGAGTATGTTGGGGCGACGCCGATCCAAGAGATCATGTCAACGCCATTCTTGGTTCTCCGATCCTCGCCCCCAGCGAAGTGCCGCCGCAGCGCGGCGCGCACGCCCAGATCGTACAGCTCGAACGCGTCGCGCGGCAGCTCGCCGGTGCCCGCGCCCAGCACGCACACGAGCACGGAGAGGAGGACGGGAACCTCGACGGGGAGGGGCAGGAGGGGCAGGAGGAGGAGGAGGAGAAGGGGGAGGAGGAAGAGGAGGAGGAGCAGGAGGAGGAGGAGGAGGAGGAACAGGAGGAGTAGAGGGAGGAAGAGGAGAAGGAGAAGAAGGAGGGCCAGTGTAAACTCAAGAATCACAAACGATGCTGGAATAGTTAAATCCTCCCTCCAAGCTCCCTCTTCATAGGCCCCTACAACGGTTCTATTCCACTGAGGGAACTGCCTCGATGGAAGAAAACTTTTTAAAGACCCTGACGCATGCCAAAACATTGTTCTCGGGATTTCAGCGCCGCGGATCAACCTGACTGTTGCGTCTTGACGATCCTGAATGGTGCCAAAACGCCATTCCTGGGACTTCAACACCGCGAATCAACGTAACTATTGCACCCTCGTGCCCCGGAGTCCTTCCAACACACAAGTTCTGGTACGTTGACCATGGGATTCCGTGAAACTCTTGCAACATAAAAACGAATGTGCGTCGCGCTACAATGAGAACCACATTTTGAAAAGGAACCGCCTTCCATCCGTGTACGCGGCGCTCAGGCGAGAGCCACATTTAGAAAATCACTTGCCCTCAACCCGTGAAACTCTTGCAAATGTTTAAACGAATGGACGCGGCGCTAAGGCGAGAGCCACTTTTGAAAACGACCCGCCCTCAACCCGTTAAACTCCTGCAATGTTTTACAACGAATGCGCGCTGCACTAAGGCGAGAACCACATTGTGAAAACGACCCGCCCTCAACCCGTGAAGCTCTTGCAAATGTTCAAAACGAATGTACAAGGCGCATTTTGAAAACCACCCGCCCACAACCCGTGAAACTCTTGCACATGTTCACACGAATGGACGCGGCGCTAAGGCGAGAGCAACATTTTGATAACGGCCCGCCCTCCATCTGTGAAACGGTTGTCATGTATTAGCTTCAAGGTCACGAATGGAGAGGAAGTCTCAGGCGGAACGCCCGGCCCGCCCTGACAACTGGCCTCGGGGTGCGACAGGGAGAAGTTATTAATAAGGAAAAGGAATGGAGGAGGAGGAGGAGGAGGAGGAGGAGGACGAGGACGAGGGGGACGAGGAGGAGGACGGGGACGGGAACCTCGACGACCTCGCCGAAGACCTGCAAGCGGGCCTCGAGCGCGGCGTCGAAGTCGGCCTCGCAGTCGCTTAGCTTCAGCAGGGGGCGGAGCAGATCCTTCTGGCCCTCGAGGAGGGCCTTCGCCTCCTCGCACCCGGACATGGCGCGCTGGCGCAGTCCGCTGCAGGCAAGGATGCGCTCGAAGAGCTCATTACCCTGCAGCTGCTTGCGCGCTATCTGGTGCTGCTCGTCTCCGCTGAGAGGCTGCAGGTGCATTATCACAAAGTCGCGGGCGTACAAGCGCTTGCGGACGCCCTCCGGCCGCGACGTGAGGACCAGAGGCATGCCCATCGGCACCAGCGTCTTGGTCACGAACTCCTCGACCGCCTGCTTCAGGTTCGCGGCCTCGTCCACGCCGTCCAGCATCACGACCAGAGCGCGCATATCGAACGCCTGCGTCAACATGGCCCGCGTGGGAGCGTCCGTGAACTCGCGCCGGATGTAGAACAGCACCAGGTCCGCTCCGCCGGGCTCTGGCTCCGGCGACGTGGCGGCCTGGCGATCCCGCAGCATGCGGGCGAGCTTCTGGATCGGGATCAGCAGTGGCACCAGGCGCACGGGGTCCTCGCAGGGCTGCGCCCTGGGCGCACTCAGCTCCTGCGCCAGCAGGAACTGCAGCTGCTGCATCGACCAGCTCTTGCCTGTGCCAGGCCCTGCGCAGACCAGCACTGGCTGGCGGCAGTGAGCACCCTGCGGCCGCCTCGCGTTCGGCCTAGTCAGCAGGGGCACGAGGCCGGACACGTCGCGCACGGCGGCGAACGACGCGTCCTGGACCCCAGCGATGGGCCGCGCCTTCTTCAGCAGGTTGGCCGCCAGCGGCGGCGTCGACGATCCGTCGGCCAACTTCACAATGCAGCGGCCGCTTCTCTCCCGGTGCTCCACGAAGCCCTCGCTGCCCAATGCCCATACGCGGTCCTGGACGGAAATGTCGGTTCCGGCGACCCACTCCAGGTCGTCAAAAGACATGTGCGCGATGGCCCCTGCATCCCTCGCTGCGCTGTCGTGTGTCTCCATGGTGAGCCTCACGAGCTGCTCCGTGACGCTCAAGCGATTGCTGGTGATGGCGTCCTCGATGAAGCGGCCATCTTCCACCAGCTGCCTGCAGTACGCCGCGCGTGCAGCCTCGAAGCTCTCCGCGCTTCCACAGCGCTGCGGGCAATGGTTCATCTCGTTCAAGTCCAGCTCGACCTCCGCTGCGTCGCCGCTCAGCCGCACGCGGTGGAGGCTGCCCGACCCTGCCGCCGGCCCGCCCGTCACCCTCGCGTCGAGCAGCCTGCCCCCGTGGACCACGAGGAGGTCCTGCCCCTCCTCGTACGCAAAAGCGCTCGCCTGCACCACGGTGCCGGGCGTGGGATCCACCATCCTCTGCTTGGAGGTGTTGTCGACCCGGACCATGACCTGTCGGGTGTTGTCAGAAGTGCCCCTGGCCCAAGGGCTGCCCCAAGCTTCTCGCTCCATTCTGGAGCCCCTATGGGGCCCCCTGGGCCTCGTGAGGGGTGCCCTGGATGCCGTCTGGACCACCCAGGGCTGAACCTGAACGGTGTTTTTAGATTTCGTTTTGTGTTCGTTTTCCCTCGTTTTGTCTTCAATCCGCCTCTACCGCAAAACGATGACGAAACGAAAACGGCCCACAAAATCGCCAAAAACACTGTTTATGTCCAGTCCTGGGCCACCCCGAGAATCCTGGGGGTACCCTTTGGGTCAAGGGCACTTCTAGCACCACCCGATGACCTGGCCGCTCTGCAGGAGCCGCACCACCGTGGCGCAGCAGCCGTGCCGATTTCGACTACACGCAAGAGTGACCCTGGGTAAGAGTGACCTTTGGTGCGCGGCCTTGTGGGGGCCGCGGGGGGGGGACCAAACACGAGCGCGCCAGACGCTACCACCGCATCACGCTCGGCGATCGGAGGGCCCAATTGGGCCCGCACCCAAGGTCATGACTACCTACCAGACCACCCCAACCCAACCCGAAGACCCGAATTTCGGGTTGGGGGGGGTATGGGCTCCATATGTGTTTTTTCGATGATCCCGGACCCCCCCCCCACACTGGAAGTGGACGGCAACTTGAGGCCTTCGGGTTGGGTTGGGGTGGCTTGGTGGGTGGTGAGGTCACTCCGGCGGAAGGGCCACTCTTGCGTGTAGCCGACGCTTCGCCTCCTCGCACAGCGCCAGGCGCAGCCCCGGCTCGGAGGCCGCGTAGGCCAGCACCGTGGGCCGCACGCGCAGCCGCAGCACGGAGGCGGGCGCCTCGCACCCGCCGCCGCCCTGCGGAGCACCGCCTCGGGCCCGCCCCCTGCTGTGGGCGCCCGTGCCCTCCGGGGGAGGCCGTGCCCTCCGGGGAGGCCTCGGCCCCAGCGGCCGACGCCGCCTCCGTCGGAGCGGTTCGCGGCAGCCGCCCCCGCGCGGAGGGTTCCAGAGGAGGGGGAGGAGGGGGGGGGGTTCAGGGGAGGGGGTTTGGGGTCCCCCAGGGGCTTCGAGCCCTCCGTTTTGACGAGGTTCCGAGGGCCCTGGGGGGCTCTCTGGAAAACCCTCCCCAAACAACCCCCATCTGGAACCCTCCGGCCCACGCCTCGAGGGGGCTGGGCTGGTGGCGCCGTGACCCGCTGGGGAGTGGGGGTAGGCCCGGACGATGCTGACCTGCGCAGGGCTCCGCCGCAGGGGGATCTGCACGTTGCAGTCGCCGTCCGCGCCGAGGATGCCGGTGCTGTCCTGCCAGCACTCGTTGCTCCAGAACAGGCGGGCTCCGAACCCGTCCGCCAGCGGACGCGCCGACGCCGCGGCGTCCGCAGTGTAAAGCTCCCCCACCTCCTGGTGAGGGGCAACGGCAGGGTTAGGTCGGGCATGTCCTCCTACAGGCGGACTTTGGAAGAAAAATACAAACGAAAAACAGGCAATAGCTACCATTGGTCAGAAGAGCACGAACGTCACCAGACTGACTGTGTTTTACTATTCTTGGAAACTCCTCCTGCCAAAGGACATGCCCGACGTAAGGGTGGGGGCCGGACTGGCAAACGGAGGGGGGAGACACCGACCTGGATCGACCGACCTGGAGGAGGAGGAGGAGGAGGAGGAGGAGGAGGAGGAGGAGGAGGAGGAGGAGGAGGAGGAGGAGGAGGAGGAGGACCGGGGGGGAGACATCGATCTGGACTCGGCGAAACAGCGCCGATGCATCGGCGAAGTAGGCCCCGAGAGCGAACACGCACGGTCGGGGGCGGAGCGGGGCCATCCAGCCCCCCGGCGGCGCGGCCTCCATGGGCGAGTGGGGGTCGCGATACGATCCCCCCGAGCCTGTCGGGAGGCCACATGCGAACCCTACAGGGCAGTTTTTAGTACATGGGATTTAAGCACACATAGGATCTTTAATACATGATTCATGTATGAATAAATGTATGCGTGAACTCATCATTGTTTTCAATACGAACCCCTGCATGTTTAATACATGATCCGCACGCGGAGCATGTATAAAAAAGGGCACTGTACCCCCCCCCCCGTAGAAATCGTAGGGTGGTGGGGTAGGGTTCGCATGTGGCCTCCTACCTGTCCCACCCCCCCCCCCAAGAGATCCGACGCTCTAGAAAAACATTGGAGCGCGGGCGGCTTGGGGCCGTCTTCGGCCTTCAGGGGGGGGCCCTCGCCAAGTCTCGGGGCCGTCAGCGAAAAACACCTCAGGCTCAAAAAACCGCTGGGAAGTGGCCCAGACCTCTGGGGCCCACGGATTCGAAAAACTTGGAGCAGCCGGATGTCTGGGCCCAACCGAGGCAAACGGTCATCGTGCTGGGAGCAGGGGGTGGGGAGGCATGAACTGCATGAACAATAGCCCCGCGGCTGCAATGCACGATGCCTGCGGCCGCCTGCGCGTCATGGCATCCTCATCCCTCCCGGCCCCAGCCTCCCAGCCCGATGGCTGTGCTCCTGACCAACGTTGCCCCCGACTGAAGGGGCCACAGGGCACACAAATAAATACACACAAACAAACAGATCCCCCATATTTTACAATATTTTCGGGGTTTTGGTCTTCCCCCCCACTTCCCATATTTTCCCACATTTCCTGGGGAATCGAGAATGAATCGTGTCTGTGTGATTCTCTTCCTCCTGACCGACTCCTGCACCGCGCCGCCCACGGAGCACAGCAGCGGCCCGGTGGCGTTCCGGGACACGTCCGCCAGGACCCCCTTGACGCTGAAGACGTAGCAGTCCGCCCACCGGAAGAGGAGGCGCAGGTCCTGGTGGCGGCCCAGCCCCGTGCGGCACTCGCGCAGGCCCTCGTCCGACCTATAGGAGAAGCACAAGCGGCATGCACAGGAACGCTCGGCGCTCCGCGCGGGTCTTTCTCGGATCTGCGCTGGACCCTCCTCCCCTTGCGCGCGGAGCGCGCCGGGCGCGGCGCCAGAGGCGCCGCCGGGGGGGGCCCAGTGCGGATCCAAGAAATCAGCGCGGAGCGCCACAAGTTTATGTTTATGGCGTTTTTCCTCCGTCGACGACCGCTGCTCCAGGAGCGCGGACGGGAGCGAGTTCTCGAAGGACCAGCGGCGCCACGTGCGGTTGATGGACTCTTGTTCGCCCGCGAGCTCCTGCGCGAGCAGAATGGCCTCCTCCTCCGCGGGCTTCTCGTGCCAGCCGTGGGCAACGAGGATGTGGCTGGCCCGCACCGTCGTCGACAGGATGCCGCGGTTCTTCTGCCGCGCCAGGAGCAGGTGCCAGCCCGCGGCGGTCTCCACCGGGCCCAGGACCTTGCCGAGCTCCAGCTCCTCGGGGGGGGCCCAGAGGAGCGGGCCCACGGCGGAGGGAAGAGGTGGACTGAGCATGGCCAAGACGTCGCGGGGTCTTGTCGGTGCAGATCTTGGTCATGGCCCATGCTGGCCGTTCGGCTACACGCAAGATTGAACCTGGACAAGAGTGACCTTTGGTGCGCGGCTTCTTGTGGGGCCGCGGGGGGACCGACCACGACTGCGGAAGACGCTACTGCCGCATCCCGTGCGGCGATCGGGGGACCCCAGTGGGCCCGCACCCAAGGTCACCCTGGCGAAGGGTCACTCTTACGTGTAGTTGAGCCGTCGCCGGCCCGCGAGGATGATCCACGAATTGATGCTGGCCAAGACGGACAGTGACCAAGCGCGGCACCACGTCTCTGCATTCGGTCTTGGTCATGGTCTTCATCTCTTCCCTGACTACCTACCAGACCACCCCAACCCAACCCGAAGACCCGAATTTCGGGTTGGGGGTAAGGATTCCACACGTGTTTTTTCGATGTTTCCCGACCCCCCCCAACTGGAAATCGAGGGTAAATCTGAGCCTTCGGGTTGGGTTGGGGTGGTTTGGTGGGTGGTGATTCCCCTCCAAGAAGCTTCCGCTATCGCGGACCTCGTGGGTCGACGCTGGACCCCCTGGCCCCGCGCCCCTTCTGTGGCGGGTGCGGGGAGGGGGGGGCCAGCGCCGACCCCAGAAATCCGCGGCTGTGCTTCGTGCGCCATCGTGCGGCGGGCAACCCGATCCTTGTCGAACAGGGCGGCCTCGATGGCTGGGTGCATCTGGCCCCTCTCCACGTCGCCGAGGTCGCCGCCGACGTCCCTGGTGCCGAGGCAGGCGGAGTACGCGCGCGCGGCCGCGTCGAAGTCGTCGGGAAACGCCAGGCAGGGCGCGAGGGCGCGGCAGAAGGCCTCGGCGTCGAGCATCCCGGGCGCCCAAGCGCGCTCGCGCTCCTGTGAGCACGCTTTTTTCTGGTTCGCGCAGCATCCACTGGCGCTACGTGATCGTCACCGTTGCGGGAGGCGGCCAAGCCAGGAATGCCGCACGCGATGTCATCGGCAGCGAAATGCCCCAGGAAGGGAGGGGAGGGCAGTAGAGGGGATAAGGGCGTTGTGCGGAGACCCCCACGCGGCACTGAGGGAACAGGGTCCTGAGGGAAACGGGTACTGAACCCCAGGCTTTCCCCCAAAATAGCTTGTCCCCTAGAGTAGTCTTGCTGACGGTCCTGGGGACCAGGAAGAGCCTGTGGGAGGCCGAAGGCAGCGAACAAAACTCAGGACACCTTTCACTCAGGACATATTTTCCTCATGCTGTCTCTGAGTAAGACAATTATCGTATTGGGAGGACGGGGTTTGGAGAATACAGGGTATGAGCAAATGCACCCGGATGCAATGAACGACACCTTCGCCCGCCTACGTCTAGCGAAAGGGAAATGTGTTGTTACCGCAGCGCATGTGCCGCCAATCCAACACCGCGCAAGCTTCCTAAGAAGCGGGTTGCAACCAGCAGCCTACTTCGTGGCCCTCTCGGCGCCCTGCGAACTTCCCAAGACGCAGGTTGCATCCTGCAGCCTGCTTCGTGGCCCTCGCAGGGCCCACTTGGAGCCCCGCCGAGGCCTTCGGTGGGGCCGTCCAAGAGCCCTCTTGTGTGTGTTCTGGGCCCTCTCAAAGCCATCTTGGACCATCTCATGTGTTGAAGCGACGCGGCGAACACTGGAGGTGGACCAAGGGCATGAACAATGATGGGCGTTTCTGGTAATTGCCCTGTGAATAATGCTTCTTGTATCAGGTTGCGCATTGCGATTCGTTGCGGATGCGATGAGTGGGAACGTCGTTTCCAGCGATATGAACGCGAAGAACCAACCCAAGTTCAAGCAGAAGTACCAGCGCAATCGGCAGGCAACTCAAGCTGCAGCGGAGTTGGAGGATGCGACGGCCCATGCCCGTGCACATGCCAGTCTAAGAAATACCTTCAACAAACGCGACACCACATATGATATGATCAATTCTCCCAACCCCAGCCTCCCAACCCGATCATTGTCTTTCTGAATCTCCTGGCCGCCCTCGTCGCACATGCCGGGCGGCGCCGACGCTGGCGCCAGAGCGGACTGCTGCAAGCCCCAGAGGTCCTCTAGCTGCGCCAAGCCAGGCGGCTCTCCACCGCAGAAGGCTGCTGTGAAGTATGCCGTCCTGCCCTTGTTGCACATCAGGTCGCCTGGAGCGAAGAAATTATCCCAGAGGAGGCAGAAGTCGCCGCTGCACATGTCCTGGCTCCGGAGCCACGCGAGGAGCCCCTTGTACCTTGCTGCGGCACTGTCGGAGAGGGAGCATACCTGGTCCACTGCTTCCTTCGTGCACGACATAATATCTGGCATGCACCTGCAGAATGTGCAGTCAGGTTCCAGCTTGGGCAATGCAGCTTGCAAGGTGTCCGAGGCCTCCTCCAGCTCGGCCCGCAAGCTGGAGACCAACCTTGCGACGTCCTCCAGGGTAACATTCACTCTTTTATTCAGCACCTCCGTCCCAGCAGCATCCTTTGTGATACTGCGGCGCACGTTCAAGAAGCACGGCCACAGCTCGTGAACTAGCTGCTGGGCCTTATCCCGAGCACCGTGAAAGAACACGTCGAGAACAAAGTGTCGCAGGTCCCTGCCCTCTGAGTCCTTGATACCCTCCAGCATCGCTAGGGCCTGCAGATCGAAGCCATCTGCCTGCCCGCGGCCCGTGCCTCCGTTCAGGTGGTTGCCCACCGCGAGGACGATCCCCAAGAGAGTGCTCAGCGCTTCTGCGCTGTGGAAGCAGTCGATAATGTCGAGAAAACTCTCGAGGGCCCGCGCGCACTCCGCGGCCCGCTCTCGACAGCTGCGAGCAGCGCTCCAGCAGGAGATCTGCTCGCGACACAGGGGCAGCGCACCCAGGGCGCCGCAGAAGTCGCGCAGCTGCGCCGGCGCATGCGGGCACGCCGCCCCGGCGCCGCTCGGGCCCCTGCACAGGTGCTCGCGCACGTCCGCGAGCTCCTGGGTGCTCAGGGCCCCCTCGTCCAGGTCCTAAGGGGGGACGCCCACAGGCCACGGCGCCGGGCCCGGCCAGGCTCGTGCGAGGGCCCGGGGTCGGTGCCGCTGCCTCCTCGGCCAGGGCCTGAGGGCGTATATAGGCATGGGCCTCGGGCCGAAGACTGGAAGAAGAGCACACTGCAGAAGCACAAGCCATAAACTTTTGGAGGTCCGCGCGGATTTTTCTTGGATCTGCGCTGGACCCCCCTCCCCTTGCGCGCGGAGCGCGCCAGGCGCGGCGCTGGAGGCGCCGACGGGGGGAGGGCCCGCGCGGATCCCAGAGATCCGCGCGGACCGCCACAAGTTTATGTTTTGTGGCGTGTTTCCGTCTTCGGCCCTCGTCGACCAAGTCCTGAGGGCGTAGGCACCGACCTTGGGCCAAGCATGGGCCCGGGCCAGGATGAGTGGCGAGGTCTTGCTTGTGCGGGTCCCAAGAGTATACACCACCACCACCTCTACTCCTCTTCCCTCCTCGTCCCTCCTCTTCATCTCCTCCATCGTGGGAGAGGGAGGGGGCGAAGGAGGTGGTGGTGGTGTGTAGTGTTTCCCCCCCGTAACTTGACACCCCCGGAGTCCGCTACGGCCCGCACCACCTCCGACGCGGGAGGCAGCCTCCCGATGGCCACGACGGCCTGCCGGTCCTCAGGAAGGAACTCACGGAAGCTTTTGGTCGTCCCCACGGCAGGCAGGAAGGAAGCTTTTGGTCGTCCCCACGGCAGGCACGGCAGGCAGGCAGGAAGGAAGGAACTCACGGAAGCTTTTGGTCGTCCCTCACGGAAGCTCAGGAAGGAACTCACGGAAGCTTTTGGGCGCCCAATCCCGCGCGGATCAGGCATAATAAGAGGAAGCGCCATGAAGATGAACTTTTGGCGCTCAGCGCGGAGTTCTTGGATCTGCGCTGGACCCCCCTCCCCTGGCGCGCGGAGCGCGCCAGGGGTGGCGCCGGAGGCCGCCGGGGGGGGGGGGCAGCGCGGATCCAAGAAATCCGCGCGGAGCGCCAAAAGTTTATGTTTATGGCGATTTTGCTTCTTCGAATAAGGCGTTTCTCTCACACGGCGCTGCTACTGGGCGCTATTGGGTATCATTGAACACTATTCCCGCACGAGCGGGAACTTCCGTGGCATGAATAAAAAACGAGTCCCGAGGGTAGCAGGCACTGGGGCCCGGGGTCTCCACTGGGCCCGCATCAAAGGTCCCTCCGGCGAAAGGTCACCCTTCACCTCTACGGGTCTTGAGAACCCCGCCCAAATACGGTGTAATTGATTCTATCTTCGGCGGCCTTATTCGCGGAACTGAATATTCGTTGTTGCTGGCGGCACCCGCCGCCCAACAGCGGCGCCGACAGCTACGACCACGACTGCGACTACGCCTATGAGATCCCAGACATCCGACGTCTCGATTTTTTCGAGACACGGGCCCCCGACCTCCTCCCGACCACTTCCCCAGGACCCGATGTTCATCCCGAGTCGCTTCTTGACGGTCCAGAAGCCGGGCGAGGGCCCCGAGAGGGCGAAAACGACGAACCATGGCCGACTCGATTTTGTCCGAGACGCCCGACGTCTGGGATTGCGACTACGACGACTCGAGACAGGTCCCCCGAGGAGGCAACTTTGGGTGACCCAAAAGGGGGTCCAGCTGAAAAGAGGGTGGTGCAATAGATTTGGCGCATTTGTACTGCAAATGCATTGCGCCGGAAAATTGTATTGCCTTGTATTGCAAGTGTGATGCATTGCACGCGAAGGTCCAGCAGTACACATTTTGCGCCCTGGAATGCGCTGCACGACCCTAAGTGCATGGCAAGCCCCACACATCTCTTGCACCAGATCTCTCGCACCACCCCCCTGTCGCCGGACCCCGTTTTGGGCCAAACCCGAGCAACGCAGCCGTTTAGCAGGGACCGACCGTCCCGGTACTCCTATAGCCCTACCAGGAAATGCTCTTAGAACCCAACAAAGTTCTAAGAGCAAAAGCAATGCTCTTTGAACATAAGCCCGATGTTTTAAAGCCAAGCCGTCCCAGCCAGAAATGTTCTAAGAACATTTCGTGGAAGGCAGGCCCATGGGCACGCCAGGACGCTTCGCCGCTGCCTGAAGCCGGTCCTCCTCGGAGGTCTGCCTCCGCAGCTCTGGCACGGCGGCGAAGGAACAACAGCAAGAAGAAGGAAAAGAAGAACAGGAACAACAGCAACACCAACACAACACCCCCCTGTCGCTGGACCCCCTTCTGGGCCAACCCGAGCCGCGCAACACGGTTAAAACAGGGCTAGGATCGGGATAAATCGCTCCAGAGCGTTCCGGAGCGCTCTCAGAGCGTTCTGGAACGCCCTGGAGCGGTCGCGGCGCCCAATACATCCTCCAAACCCGCCGATTCTCAGACTGGGTAGTCGAAGCCAATCTGGCGCCAATCTGGCAGGCCCAATCTCGCAAACGGGGGCAATCTGGCGAGGGAGCCAACGCGAATCCAGTCTGGCGAATAACCCAAATCATCCAGTGTGGCCAGGCCAGATTGGCCCTTGGGGCCCAATCCAATCTGACAGTCTGGCCTTCGACTACCCAGTCAGAGATTTCGAGTTATCCCGATCCGATGTTGTCCCGATCTTCGCGTCGTTCTATGGACCCCCTTCTGGGCCAACCCGAGCCGCGCAGCACGCTCCTCCTCGGAGGTCTGCCTCCGCAGCCCCGGCACGGCGGCGGGCACCTCCTCCCCGGGGCGCCGCGACCGGAACCGGCGCAGGCGGCCCTCCAGCTCGCCGGCCGGCAGCCGCGCGCGGCAGTCCGGCACCGCGTCCCACACGGTGGGGCCCAGGGCGCCCTCGGCGGGCACAATTGAAGGGGCCCTGGGACACACACAAATAAGTACACACAAATAAAAAGATATTCCCCATCTTTTCCAAGATTTTCTGGGTTTTTGTCTTCCCCCCCACTTCCCATATTTTCGCATATTGTCTGGGACATCGACGGTTCATTGTGTCTGTGTGCTTCTTTCCCTCCTGAACAATAAGGAAATTATCCCAGACAGGGGGCGTCTCGAACAAAAACCGAGGGGCGGAGGGATGAGCATCTTCGTCGTCTCTGGCCTCCACGGGGGCCCTCGCCGGGCCTCGGGGCCGTCAACAAAACGGCTCGAGATGAAACATCGGTCCCGGGGAAGTGGTCGGGAGGTCGGGGGCCTGTGTCTCGAAAAAGTAGAGACGTCGGATCGATGTCTGGGAGGAAAATCGGGGGGGGGACGCAAGGGTAGGATGGCAACGGACAGGGTAGAGAATCAGTGTCCCTGGCGATGGCAGTAAGGGTACAGCTCCCGCAGCGGGTTACCCTGGCGCCTCCCGGCGCTGGGAGGTGCCCATGTAATATCAATGAATGGGCCCGGAGGGGCGGAAAAGCCAGCTGCATGCAGCAGATTTCAGAATCCCCCCTTTCCCTATCCCCCCTTTTCGCGCGGCCCAAGACAAGCGGGCCTAGAAGCCCAGAGATCCGAGGACATGATTTTTTCAGTGCGGCGTTTTTCCCTGGCTTTCGCCCTCCAGGGCCCATTCGCGAGCCCAGGGGCCATGCAAAACGGGTCGGGGATGAAAACCGCGCCCCTGGGGAAGGGGTCGGCACCTCTGGGGCCGCGGGTGTTGCTACACGAGCCCGAGGTGCCCCCACAGGAGTTCCAAGGAGGCCACCGCGGCCCCTATAGAGCACCCCTCGCGAGGCCCAGAGGGCCCCAGGCGCTCCACCACAGAGGGGGACGCTGGGAGCACCAATTTGGGCCAGGGACACCCCTCTGCAACCTCCGAACTGGGCATCGCTCGGACGTCCATTCCCTGCGTTTCTTTCGGTTTCGTGCGCGTTTTTTTTTTCGCCAAACGATCAAGGATGCTCCTCGGTGGTCCTCGCCGAAGAAAAAGTGCACACGTCCGAACGACGCCAAGGGAAGGGAACGGGCCCCGAGACCCTGGCGTCGCAGCTCCTGCTCGCCGCGGGCGGCGTCGCTGCCTCCGCCCGGGCCCCGCGGGGCCCTCACCGCGGCTCGGCCCGGCGGGGAAAATCCGGCAGGGGTGGGGCCCGGGGCCCCGGTGGTGACTTTTCTGTCCCAGAGGTCTCTTTTTTCAGAAAAAGTGAAAATTTTCAAAACCACTGTTTTTTTTCAAACGCCCGCGAAAAGTTGAAAAAAAACGAAACAACCTTTTTTATTCATCCTGGAGGCCCCGAACACCAGTTTTGCAGGCCACGCCGCCATCACATGGCCCAAATAAGCGTTTGCACGAGTGGAGAATCGAGATGACCCGTATATTTACATACAAAGTTGTATGTGTGTATGTATGCATGCATGCATGCATGCATGCATGTATGTATGCATGCATGCATGTATGCATGCATGCATGCGTGAATGCATGCATGCATGTGTTTGCATGCATGCATGCATGCATGTATGCATGAATGTATGTATGTATATATGTATGTATGTATGGATGGATGGATGGATGGATGGATGGATGGATGGATGCATGTTTGTTTGCATGTATGCATGCATGTATGTTATATATATCTATACACATATATATATATATATACAACTATATATATATATATATACATTCAGAGTGCACTGTCATGCGTATATCGAATAAACACGTATCGGTTCCGTGGCTTGTGGCCGCTGTGGTCGTGGTCCGTGGACAGATGGGGGTGTTGTTCTATTCCACCTCGCCCTATTCCACCCTCCACCTCGCCCTATTCCATCCTCCTCGCTGGCTGCCTGCGCTAGCATCAAGGCGTGCTAGGCGCCTGCGCAAGCGCCCAGCGGGCCACTGTATGGCGCTGCGCAGGGCCATGCTGACGCGGGACCGCGGCGGGCAACTTTCGGGCAACTTTCGGGCAACGTTCGGGCAACTCGGGGAAGTTGCCCGAGCGTTGCCCGAAAGCTGCATGCGGTCTTACCCACCCCCTCCTCGAGAGGAGGGGGGGAGGAAGAGTTGGAGGAGGAGGAAGAGGAGGAGCTCCTAGGAGGAGGAGGAGGAGGAGGAGGAGCAGGAGTAGTAGGAGGAGGGGGGCGACGATGACGACGACGAGGGCGAGAACGATAACGAGGGCAAGGGCGAAAAAGATGACAACGACGCCGACGCCGATGCCGACGCCGACGCCGCCGACGACAACGCCGACGACGACGACGACGACGACGACGACGACGACGACGACGACGACGACGGCGGCGGCGGCGGCGGCGGTGGCGGTGGCGGCGGCGACGAGACGACGTTCGGATCCAACCCCCATCTCCGCGCGAGGACAACAACAGCAACATCACGGGTATGGTGCGCAGCAGTGCACATGCAGCATCGTCGAGCTCGGCAGCGACGAGTGCGGCAGCATCGGTCGCGCAGGCTTTCCCTAGGGTGGAAGGGAAACGCGATGTAGGATGAGGCATGGATGGATGGATGGATGGATGGATGGATGGATGGATGGATGGATGGATGGATGGATGAGGAGGAGGAGGGAGGGGCTCGAAGAGGAGAGGAGGTGGAGGAGGAGGAGGAGGAGGAGGAGGAAGAGTGTAGCTTTGGTCGGGTTCCCTTTACAGGCACAGTTGGGCATAGTGGAGCCGAGAGTGTACAATCGCCCGATCGACTTGAGCAGCGACGACGAGCCGCTGTCGAAGATTCCCCGAATGTTAGGCAAGGCAGATGACAACAACGGCAGCGACAGCATCGGCAAAGATCTCGAGGGCATCATCGCAGCACAACCAGTCGAACAGATAGACAGCAGCCCGCAGCCGATCAGCAGCCCGCAGCAGATCTTGCCCATGCCCCTCTCGGACGCGCAGCCCGAGGGTCACATGGGCATTCCCGAGGCGCGAGACTGTTGAAACACCTTCAGGAGGAGGCGGAGGCGGAGTTGGAAGGAGGATGATGAGGAAGGAGGACGATCAAAGGGTAAGGATGAGGATGAGGAGGAGGAGGAGGAGGAGGAGGAGGAGGAGGAGGAGGAGGAGGGAGGAGGGGGGGGCATGACAATCATATCAAGGGCGCCGTAACGGCGAGGAAGACGAGGCCCAGACCGATGGCGACGACGAGGACGACGACAATGTCACACATATAAGGTGATGAGGATGATGACGATGCTGACAATGAGGACGGCATATATAACGATGTCGTCATCCTCCTCATCAGCTTCGTCCTGGTCCTCGTCCTCGTTCATCTCATCCTCCTCCTCACTCTCCCTCCTCATATCCCCACCGCCCTCCAAATTCACCACCTCTCTCTCCCCCTCTCTCTCTCGCCTCCACGTTATCCCCCGTCGGAGGCCGAACCATATGCCGACTTATACGACGACGAAGGGGAATACGACATGGTGGGGGTCGACGTCGAATCGAACGCGATCGGGTCGGCGTGGGGATCGGTCTCCGACGAGGATAGTGCTCCTCACCCCCCTCCCCTTAACATAACCCTCTTATCTCCTCCTTCTCGCGAGAAGCCGCCGAGCTTACCGCATAGCCCATTCGGACCGTTCCCGCAGGCAGCCGACATTAGCGATCAGATCGAGCCAGCCGACCAGCACATCAAGGAGGTGCAGCCCATCGAGTCAACCCTGGCAGAGCCAATCGACGGGCCAACCGAGGAGGATACTGTACCAGGGGACCCGCCGCCCGTCGAGCAGGCCAAGAAGGCTCGTGTCACGGAGTGAATCAGGAGGAGGGAGGAAGAGAAGGAGGGAGGAGGGAGGGAGGGAGGGAGATGAAGAGGAGAGGCATGAGGGAGGAAGAGGAGGAGGAGGAGGAGGAGGAGGAAAAAGGAGGGAGGGAGGGAGGCGGAGAAGGAGGAGGAGGATAAGGAGGAGGAGGAGGAGGAGGAGGAGAAGGAGGAGGAGGAGGAGGAGGGGAGGAGGGGAGGAGGAGGAGGAGGAGGAGGAGGAGAAGAACGAGAAGGGAGGAGGGATGGATGGAGGGAGGTGCACGGGAGGGGACGGGGGAAGTGGGACAATATTTATGGGGGCGGAGGTCGGGGGGAGAAGCGCTTAATCCCACGGCCCGCCCCCGCGCGAGGCATTACCTGCGACTGGTCCCGATGACATGGAGCTCATCCAGCGGATGTTCGAGACAGAGGCCAACCCCGACCCGCCCGTTGCACCCACTTCTTCTATGTGCGTATCCGTTCCCCTCTCGCTCCCTCCCCTCCGACATCATCCCCCCCAGACTCGTTCACTCTCGTGAACCACCATCCACCATCCACCATCCACCATCCTCCTCCTCCTCCTCCTCCTCCTGCCCGTGGTCTTCCTCCGCCTCCCCAACCGTTTCCCCATCCTAGTCATCCGCCGCCTTATCTTCCTCGATCGTCTGCCCTCCCCGCTATCTTATTCGTCATCCCTCTTCCACCCCCCGTCGACGTGATCGTCCGTCGCCCATCATCTACCCTCCATCCTCTTGTTTCCATCCCCTCTCTTCCATCCTCTGTCCTCCATCCTAAGTGTTGTCGTCCTACATCATCCCTCATCCCTGCTCTATCCTCCCTCCTCCGTCCTCCCTCGATCCTCCATCCACCCTCTCCGTAGCCATTGTGCCGCAAGATGTCGTCCCCTGGAGAGGATACATATGTGATATTGGGACCGCTCGCACAAGCCCTGCTCCCACACGCAACCTCCAGCAACTTTTGCACATACAAATACGATGGCGGCATCGACCGCAAGTGCATCGAGAAGCACGTCAGCCTGATCAAAAGCGTTGCCCAGGTGGCCCAGTTGACAAATGTACCGCCCCCATGTCATCGTACGAATGGGGACGAGGACAATGAGGATGATGAGAAAGATGAGGAATATTGGGAGACGATGATAATGATTAGGACGGATAGATGATGGAGGCGACAGGGGGAAGGGGGGAGGATGATGAGGAGGAGGAGGAGAACGAGGAGGAGGAGGAGGAGGATGAGGAGGAGGAGGAAGAGGAGGTGGAGGAGGCGGAGGAGGAGGAGGAGGAATAAGGATGAGGAGAGAGGGATGCATGATGACCTAGAGGGCGATCGCACACATTATATACATATATATATATATATGAATGTATACATGTGTATGTTCACATACGTAGATATATGAACATATACATGTATACGACATGCAAACATATTTACATATGATCTATATCCCATAATCACATATCTGTGTATCGACATCGTCATATACATACGCGTGTGCTTATTCATAGACGCGGATGTGACTGGTGCTAAACAATGAAGGGTGCACCGTGGGATGGTTGAGGGTTATGAGGACGATGGTGACGATGCTGATGGTGATTATGATGAGGAGGAGGAAGAGGATGGGGAGGAGAGGGAGGAGGGGGAGGAAGCGCAGCACCAGCAGCAATTATAAGGGGATTGTGATCAGTATAGCGTAATTAGCGCAAGACTCGGAGGAGGGGGACGAGGGGTGATGAACGGAGGGAGGGAGCGGGATGAGGGAGGGGAGGAGGGAAGCTCCCAGAGGGGAGCGAGGGGGGGGTGGAGGAGGAGGGGGCGAGGTAAAGTGGAGGATAAATGAGAGAGGCGTAGTTTGCTTTCGCTTCAGGTGAAGGGCACACTGGCGTTCAAGAGGGACCAGTGGATGCAGGCGCTCAAGGAGGTGGCCAAGGAGAATCTCAGTTTCAGGAGCCGAGGGGAGCAAGCGACGTGGCAGACCGAGCTGCAGAAACGTCTCTCTAAGATGTGCCGCCACGCGGGCCAGTACCTGATCAAGGAATCGCCGCCGAAGTGGTTCAGAGCCTTGAAGATCCCGAGGCCGCGCATAGTGGACGACGACAACGGCGACGAGGACTCGGGCGACTTCGAGATGCAGGAGGAGGACGCCGAGGAGGAGAACCCTGATGACTTTGATCCTGACAGCGAGCTTGCAGATGACGAGGCCACGGGCAGGGCGAACGCGGAGACCAAGGCTGAGCAGAAGTCCGAGACCAAGAGCGCCGAGAGCAAGAACCCCGAGACGAAGTCCGAGCCCAAGAGCGCCGAGAAGGAGTCCAAGCCGCAGGTGCAGTACGACCACGGGTACGATGCAGACGCCCGCTGCGCTTTCAGGACGCGCAAAGGCGGCAAGAAGGTCTACCACCCAGAGTACGCGATCAGCATGCACGAGCCGCCAAACGCGAAGATGACGGACAGCATGTCTGCGACCTTCAAGAACACTGATGGCACCTTGGAGACGGTGATGGTGGCCCAGATGACGGTCGCCAAATGGCGGGCGAGTGCCGATGGCAAGAAAGAGCCAGTCGACGGTGGCGGCGCAGGTGGCAAGAAAGATCACCACCCCATGAAGGCGACCAAGGGGCGTGCGGCCGACAGGCAGGGCTGGGTTGGCACGGACAAGGATGGCACTAAAGTCGAGGCGTTCATCCGCAGCGACGACGCCAAAGGCAAACCTCCCAAAAGGCTCGCCGTCGTCGCGGTGGACGGCCACGCCGTGGTGACCATCAACGTGCAGCACTTCGAGGAGACCGCCGAGAAGAACAAACAGGCGGCTGGCTTGGCGTGGGCATCAGTCATCGCGGAGAAGCTGGCAGCAGGGACGATCGATAAGGACGAGGCCATCAAAGCTAAGATGGAGAAACTGTCGGAGAGCGGCTTCGAGTCGCGCGTGTCCAAAAAGAGGCCAGCGGCAGCGGTCAGTGCTTCGGCAGGTGCTTCAGCTACAGGTGCACAGATGAAGAGGCCAGCGGCAACGGTCGAGGCCGACACGCCGACACCTGCAGCTTCAGAGGGTGACGGCACGCCTGCTGCTGCGACCCCACCGCCCAAGAAGAAGGCGGAGTCGCCGATCGCTCGCAAGACCCAGCTGTCGCCGCCGACTCCTTCATCGGATGAGGTGTCGGAGTGACGTGAGCACGGCGCGCATGCGAGCCCGCCTGCTTAGACTAGAGCCGTGCATATTGGAAAGGGTGGAGGACGGGACTGGAGGTAGGAGGAGGAGGAGGAGGAGGAGGAGGAGGAGGAGGAGGAGGAGAAGGAGGAGGAGGAGGAGGGAGCGTCGACATCAGGAGGAGGAGGAGATGAGGAGGATGAGGAGGATGAGGAGGACGATGAGGTGAGGCAGATATGGATGACAGGATAAAGGCACTTGACACTAGTTCGGCATCATGGGACATGCTGCATGGCTAGTCATCGGACTGCCACCTATTGCAGCCAGACCGCAAGTTCCAAGCGATGCGGCGACGTCGAAAATCAACAAACAGAGGGCTATCCAGGCTGGCACTGACACGCTGGCTACACACATATGTATATCTATATATATATACACAAACATCTAGACATACACACATACACTGTCTATGGATATGCAGCGTGCTGTGAAGTTGCGCGAGTTAGACACGCACCGAAAGGGGTGGACAATGACATATACACACACACACACACACCGAAATGTACCCTGAGGGATAACACACGGTATACATATGTAGCGAACTAGTGGTATGTCTCTGTTGGTGTATACATAAACATCGATACACGCGCATAGAGAGATATTCAGCTAGAGGGTGAACTATCAGTAGGTGTGTTTATATACATACATATAGGGAGAGCGAGAGAGAGAAAGAGAACGCAACTCACACGCACGCACAACATATGAATACCGAGGTACATATACGCATATCTCCCCCCATCACTCTCCCCGTCCACTGCCTCTAACCTCCATTCCCACCGAGCCCTTCTACTCTCCCGATCCCCGTCGTCGACGCCCACCTCCTCCTCCTCCTCCTCCTCCTCCTCCTCCTACTACTACTACTACTACTACTACTACTACTACTACTACTACTACTACTCCCTCCATCCCTCCCTCTCCCTCGATACTATATATATATATATATCTCTCTCTCTCTCTCTCTCTCTCTCTCCCTCTCCCTCTAACTTGTATCTCGGGCCTGACTCAAGTAAGTCGCGATCACATCGCGGGCAAGTGTCGGGCAAGTGTCGGGCAAGTCGCGGGCAATTCTCTGGCAAGTCTCGGGCAAGGTTCGGGCAAAATTCGGGCAAGTTTCGGGCAAAGGTCGGGCAAATTTCGGGCAAGTCACGGGCAAGTTTCGGGCAATTCTCGGGCAAGTTTCGGGCAAGTTCCGGGCAAGTTTCGGGCAAGCTTCGGGCAAGTGTCGGGCAAGTTTCGGGCAAGTTTCGGGCAAGTTTCGGGCAAATGTCGGGCAAGTTTCGGGCAAGTTTCGGGCAAGTCACGGGCAAGTTTCGGGCAATTCTCGGGCAAGTTTCGGGCAAGTTTCGGGCAAGTTTCGGGCAAGTTTCGGGCAAGTTTCGGGCACGTGTCGGGCAAGTGTCGGGCAAGTTTCGGGCAAGTTTCGGGCAAGTTTCGGGCAAGTTTCGGGCAAGTTTCGGACAAGACGCGGGCAAGTTTCGGGCAAATTTCGGGCAAGTTTCGGGCAAGTCGCGGGCAAGTTTCGGGCAAGTTTCGGGCAAGTTTCGGGCAAGTTTCGGGCAAATATCGGGCAAGTTGCTGGCAATTCTCGGGCAATTTTCGGGCAAATTTCGGGCAAGTCGGGCACGTGTCGGGCAAATGTCGGGCAAGCCGCGGGCAGGCCGCGGGCAAGTTTCGGGCACGTTTCGGGCAACTCCCCCGAGCAATTCGGGCAGCTCTCTGGGAAGTGTCGGCTGCGGCTTCTCCCTCATGCTGCTCGGGTCGTTCCCCCCGCGGGCACGCCAGGTGACTGGCGTCGCGATGAACCCGCACGGCTCCCCCGTGACCATCCAGGCGGGCGGTGGGCGCGGGTTCCCGTGCCACCTCACCCTCATCGGTCCTGCCCGAGCTCCGCCTCCCTCCCCCCCTGCTCTCCTGCTCCTGCTCTCCTCCCCAAACTGTTGCTTACCCCATAATTACCCTCCTCCGAGGTCTTTGCCATCCTCGCACATTCCCCTCCTGCTCCTTTCCCCCTCTCCTTCATCCCCATCCTGAGAAGGAAGAGGGATGAGGAGGTGAGGGGTAGCCGTCTAGAATAAGTGGTTGACGATAACTCAATCATGCGTGCGGCAACGGCTGTTAGCAGAGCTGGGCGGACAGGGGGGCATGTTTGGCAGCGCTCTGATATAACATCAGCGCAGGCGCAAGGCTTCGAGAGCAAGTTGCTGGAGGCCTTCAAGAAATCGAACATTATGCAGGCGGAGGCCACAGACGATGGCGAGGCAGCCCCAGCTGAGGAGGATGATGACAGGGACTTGAACCTCGAGGCAGCGGCGGCGGCTGGTTTCGACATCGGCAGCCAGACCCCCCTGGGGAAGAGGTACGCTCTCTTCCGTCGCAACTGCGCCGAGGAGACGGAGCGCTACAACTTGTTGGACCCGCACGGCAAGAAGAAGAGGGTCAGAGAGTGGGTGAAGGAGCAGTTCGACGAGTACCAGGATACGTTTACGACGATGATGACGACGACGGCGGCGGCGGCGATGACGACATGATGATGTTGATGACGACGACGACGACGAAGGCGAAAACGATGACGACCCCCTAGACCAGAAACCTAGAAACCAAGGGGTAGGGGGGCAGAAACTGATAAGCAACGGGTGTGGTTTTGTTCATCTGCAGGAGAAGCGGGCCAAGATCAACGAGCGGGTCAAGCGGGATACGACGACTGGCCAGTGGATGACGTTCGAGGGTATGATCACCGCTGAGATGGGCGGCGGAGGCGGCCCTCCCACGAAAGCGGCAGCGCAGGGGGCCGTCAACCGATGCATGTACCTCATCAACAAGGGGCCCAAGCACGTGCGCATCAATGTGGAGAGCAAGCGCATGGAGTTCAAGAGGAAGACTGATACGGAGACGGTGGATCACGTGAACATCAGCCGCAGCACCAGGCTCGAGACGCGTGACGCCGTCAGGCAGTCTGGTGCGGCAGTTCAGACTCCAGCGGCAAAAGCAGGTGCAGCTGTGGAGCATACGCCAGACCCCGTTCAACGACCGACTGGCGCTGAAGCTGCAGCTCCTCCGAAGCCATCGTCACCGAGCTCGGGATCCAAGGCAAGCAAGGGCAAGGGCAAAGACGGGAAGGGAAAGGCAAAGGGGAAGGCGAAGGCAAAATCGAAGGCAAAGGCCGCCACCCCGAAGTTGGTGGAGACAAAAGCGAAGCACGTCGTGAAGGAGTTCTCGGCTGTGCTACAGAGATCCAAACACCTCGTCACCACCATCGAGAAACCAGACAGCAAGCTGTCCTGGGCCAACACGGACAGGTTCAAGGGCAAGCTCGTCCGCAAGATTGACGCGACCCAGGCCAAGATCTCAGAGTACACGGACTTGGAGAACCTCATGCTCTACAACTACGACTTGTCGGAAGCCTTCCTCAACGACGTGCACGGGTCGCTGTCGGCGGTCGAGGAGTTACAGGAGTCCATCACGTCCCTGGACCAGTGCTTCCAGAAGATCCAGGACCTCGAGAACGACGAATTCCCGTCCCAGGAGTAGATGCCGTGCTGGTGAACACGTTCGCCCGCGTCGCACACAGCATAGCTGTGCCCGCCTGACCCCGCTGAGAGGGGCGCTGCTCGGCCAGGGAGTGGATGAGGGTACCATGGCGAGTGAGGATGACGGCGACGCAGATGCCAATGCTTGATGCAATGGCAATAATAGTTACATCATCGATGACAATGACGAAAACGGTCATGACGCCGACGGCGACACTAATGACGATGACGACGACGGTCATGATGGTACGGCTTGGTGTCTCTCGATCCTCCTCCCATTCATATTGCCTGGCTCGTTCTCCCTCTCTCCATCTCTCCCTATATATCTCCCTCTCTCTATATATATACATATATATATCCCTCGAAATCTCTCCAACGATATCTATCCATCCTTACATTCTCCCCATATTCCTGTCCCCTGTCTCTTCCTCTATATCCCGTTTCCTCTCCACCCCGATACCCCCCTCGCCGTCCTCCATCCCTGTGGTTCGTCCATCCCTCCATCTCTCTATATCTCCCTCACTCTCTCTCTCTCTCTCTCATTCTCCCTCTCTATCTGTTTTATATATGCTTGTATCCCTCCCCACACCTCATTCCTCTCGCCCCCCTTGACTGTTCCTCTCTCTCTTTCTCTCTTTCGGAGTGCGGTCCTGGAGCTGATAGCGGTGGCATCTCGATGCCTGGGACTGGCCAGAACGACAGGATGAGGATGACGATGGCGAGTGGAACGACGAGGGTGAGGGCAAGCAGGAGGGGAAGAGGATCAGGGACGGGCGAATGTATGCAGGGTGGCAGCAACAGCAGACGGGAGGTACACAGAGGATGAGTAGGCCGAGGGGAGGGCCGAGGAGGAGAAAGGCGATGGAGAGGTAGTGGATGAAAGGTCGGGCAAGAGCAGGCTTTCGCCGCTAGGATGCAGTTTGACAGCTCCCGCCGAGGGGCGTCGGGCAGCTTTAAGCCCCCGAAGAGGGGTGTCGGGCACTTGCGGCGATCGACCACGCGGCCTGCGACGCTAGTATCGACGCTGGGCGGGGGAGCTCAGAAGAAAAACAACGCTCGGACTCTCACATTGATGAGTTGGGGGGCGCTCAGAGCTGTCTAATTCGAGTAACTCTTCTCAAGAACGCCGACCTGTCGGAAATTATTACCTTCTCTGGGGCACAAAAAAGGCCGGGCAAAAACCGGGCAAATCCCGGGCAAAAACCGGGTAAAAAATTGCCCGTGGGCAAATCGCCTGAGACATCCTCGGAAAATGGCAGGGCACGGGCCGGGCAAAAACCGGGCAAAAACCGGGCAAAAACCGGGTAAAAAATTGCCCGCGCTAGATGTGACTCGGAAGCGCCCCTTGGCGGCTCCTGGACCCATATGTAAACGCAGCGTAGCCCTCAATAAAGATAGGGGAGGGCATATTTGAAGGGAAATGAGAAAGGG